TTTAATGGATAATTTTCATGGAAAAAAAGTCAAATGAACACCCAAAGATCCAAATTTTCAATATTTTTCAGGTGAAAATTATACCAATCGAACCCAATTAATTGACAATTTTCATTAGAACAAGTTCTAGGCAATTCAATTCCTTAAAATTTATTTTTTTTTTCCACCCAAATTTCATTATTGCATTCAAACGGACCAGTAAAGAAAAAAAATCAGGCAACAGAAAAGTGCTTATGTCGATGGCAGGAGGGTGAGGGGAAGTACTGGAGGATTAAAAACAGTGTTTTGCAACATTCGAACAACCAAAAAGATAATACTTCAACTGGAGACATGAGTAGTCAACAAAGAACAGTAATAAGAGCGAGTGAAAATTTATACGAGATTATAAACCTCAAAATTTCTAATTAACATGAAGAAATGAATTCATGTATGTAGGAAATGCACAAATACATTTGAGATTTAAATTAATATGAAATTCATAGGCTTTGCACTTGGAATTTTACTGTAGATCAGAATAAAAACTGGTTCCAAAGTCTTGTCTGCAAAGGAACAAGACCATGAAACTTTAGGATTTATACGAACGAATAGTTAGTACTTGGCCCATCTTATGTTGGACTTAATATTCTTGCATATATCATAGCCACAGTATCGTCTTCATTCCACAGTTTCCATGCCTGATATTTTTAGTAGTTGAGTCATGACGAAGAATCATTAGGGGACATTATAAAACACATCACAAACAGGTAAGTCATGTTTGATTGCACTCCAATTCCATGGAAGATGGAAACTAAATTTTATTTTCCACCTTGTTACATATTTGATTGCTCAAAATTTTTATGGAATTGGTTTTCCATGTTTCACCCACATGCTCACGGGAAATTTTTTCTGGACAACTTTCTTTTTTTTAATAGAAACAAATTATATCCCCAATTGTAGCAAATTATATCAATTTAATGGACAATTTTCATGGAAAAAACAAAGTCAAAGAAATACCAAAATATCCAAGATTTCAATATTTTTCAAGTGAAAAATTATACCAATCAAACACAATTAATTGACAATTTTCATTAAAACAAGTTCTAGACAATTCAATTCCTTAGAATTCATTTTATTTCCACCCAAATTTCTTTCTTGCAATCAAACGGTCCTGTAAAGAAAAAAATCAGGTAACAGAAAAGTGCGTATGTCGATGGCAGGAGCGCAATGGGAAGTACTAGACGATTAAAAAGAGTGTTTTGCAACATTCGAACAACCAAACAGATAATACCTCGATTGGGATAGGAGTAATCAACAAAGAACAGTAATAAGAGCGAGTGAAAATTTATACGAGATTATAAACCTCAAAATTTCTAGTTAACAAGAAGAAATGAATCCGCGTAGGTAGGAAATGCACAAATACATTTGAGATTTAAATTAATCAGAAATTCATAGACTTTTCACTTGGAATTTCACTGAAGATCAGCATAACAACTTGTTCCAAAGTCTTGTCTGCAAAGGAAAAAGACCATGAAACTTCAGGATTTCTATGAAGGAATAGATAGTATTTGGCCCATCTTATGTTGGACTTAATATTCTTGCATATATCATAGCCACAATATTGTCTTCATTCCACAGTTTTCATGCCTGATATTTTGCGTAGTTGAGTCATGACAAAGTATCATTAGGGGGCTGATAAGTATGTTTTTTCACACTTATTTAATGTCTAAATATGCTTTTCAATGATAAAATGGATGAAATTCTATTCACAATTATGTAATATTTGCTTTTGTAGGCCAATGAAAGAGAACAAAGCAAAATGAGGGAAATTGACTAAAATTGTGCAAAATT